AAGAGAATAGCTTTGGAGTCAAGACTTTTTAAAGAAGATTTGGCTAGTGTTTAATTTGATGTTTCATTCTGTGAAGTCACCTGTAGAGAATCAAACATTTACATATTTATTAACAGATGCTTTTGGTTCTTGGTGTTTGGCCACAGACTTTGGGCTAGATGAGCTCTGGAAATGCATAAAAATCTCCCATTGCCCCCTTGCATGGGTAGATAGGAAAACATTGACCTTTCCAGGTTATCCTCTTGCTTCACAGCGAGGAACTTCTTCAGCTGCATCATGTTCCCACCAGAGTCTGAAAACTAACAGGCTTTCAAGAGACTGACGGTTAAATAGAGAGAATGCCATGCATCTGGGTTGCTGCGTTTTCCATTGTTGCTCTGAGATTGAATTAGGAAAGTTCTCGGGGTTTTGGACCTCTTGATTTCTAATCTCTTTTGATTGAGTTAGAGTTGCAGAAATATCATGAATTGCTAATTAAAAAATAACTTTCTTTTCTTCGTAAAAATAATTCATACTAATTGTAGAAATTTGGGGAAATAGAAAAAGGCATAATGCTAAAAATTACTCACAATTCTACCATTCAGAGATAATCACTACAAATATTTTGTATTTGCATATATTTTCATATGCCTAATTAAGATCATTGTGTACAGATTTTGATTTCTTTTTCCATGCAACATATGAATACTTTTTCTTGTGTTGAGAGCTGCACGGAACAGGGACTTGTATTAGTTTCCTATTATGCTACAATAAATTTCCACAAACTTGAGTGGCTTGAAACAACAAATTTATTTTCTCATTGTTCTGGAGGACAGAAGTTTAAAATCAAGGGTATAGGCAGGATTGTGCTGTGTTTGGAAGTTCCAGGAGAGAATCTATTCCTTGCCCTCCTGACTTCTGGTGGCCAGGTGGTTGCTAGCATTCCTGAGCACGAGGTTCCATCCCTCCATTATCTGCCTTGGTTTTCACATCACTTGTGTATATGTGTGTGTGAGAAATCTACCTCTCGTACAAGGACACTCACATTGAGGCCCTACCTAAAAAATTAAGGATATCTCTTTCATCAAGATTCTTAATCACATCTACAAAGACCCTTTTCCCATATTAAGGTGACGTTTCCAGGTTTCAGGGTTAGGACCTGACATCTTTGGGGCCATTATTCAGCCTCCCACAGTGTGGACTCTGGAGCTAGACTGTGTGGGCTCAAATCCCAGTGCTATCTTTTACTAGCATGATGGCCTTGAGCAAGTGTCTTAACTCTTGGTGCCTCCACTTTCTGATATGTAAAATAGGAATGACAGTACCTACCTCCTTGAGTTGGTATGAGGATTAAAAGGATTAATATACATAAAATGCCTAAAAAGCTTAGGATAGTGCCTGGCCTATGTAAGGATTAACTGCTGTTATAGTAGTTGTTATTTTTATTAACAATTCTTTGTAAAATTTTTTTTCGATGGCTGCATAAGATTTTCTTTATGAATCTACCATAATTTATCTAATCGTTTCCTTTTGTTGGCTGTTTCTTTCCAATTTTTTGTCTCATATGTAACTGTCATAGATATCATTGAGCATTAAATTTTGTTCTACTTCAGATTCATTCCCTCGTGTAGAGTTCTGGGAATGCAATTGCAACATCAGAGGTTGTGTACAATTTTAAGCCACTTAATACGAATTTGCTAAATTGCTTCCCAGAAAGACTATGCCTATTATACTCCTACCACTAGTTGAGTGATGAAAAGTGCCTGTTTTACCATGGCCATACCTGTTATTGAGTATTATCCTTTTAAACATTCTCAAGTATTTTGACAGAGTCTGGCCTTTACGGTTGAAATGTAACAGCAAGAAGACGCAAAACATCGTGGTTTCTTTAGTAAGCTGTCTTCTGGCAAGGCAAGATGCAAAATGAAATCCTTGCCTCGTCAAGTCTCCAGGTATACCTTCTCCATTCTGTTACGAAGCCTGGAAACTTCATGCGTGTTTTCAAGGTTAAAGGGGAGGAGTGTGGAGGGAGAGGATATGCCAATAGCAGGGCAGTGCTAGGTGTACAAGGATTTCAGTGACACAGTTTTGCTTCTGTTCTCAAACTTGAACATTTAAAACTCTGAGCATTTGATGGGATGAAGGAGACACACTGGGACAGAAAATGTATCAGTTTAATCACAGTGCCACTAAAGCCATGTGAGGGACAGGAGGATGGAGTGGGGAGCCGGCAGCCCCTGCACTGGCTGCTAGATGGGCTGGGAGACCCACGTGGGGAAGGGCCGAGGGAATAGTCTGCAGCTGCACTTTGCACCCCTGCCACCTGCTAGCCTGCTTTCCTCTCCTGGTGGGGCCCCTTGCTGTCTGGTCCTGCCCAGCACAGGCCTCTGTGCTCTAGAGGAAGGAGCAGAAGTGTGGGGTGTGTCTGCTCAAAGGGACCTACTACATCAGAGGTCATGTGGTCCACTGCTGCTCAGGCTGTTTGGAAACACAAGATGATTGTTGTTTTTTCCTCAGTGGGTAACTGACATGAACATACTGTGTATGCCGTGCATTGCTAGTCCCACGTGAATTCAAGCCCATGGTAGTGGGCTAAATGGTGGCCCCAAAGACATACTTATCTCATGATCCCTGGGACCTGTAAATGTTGCCTTAATTGAAAAAAGGGGTTTTGTAGATGTGATTAAGTAAGGATCTTGAGTTGAGATCATCCTGGAGTATTTGGTAGGCCCTAAGTGCCATCAGAAATGTTCCTACCAGAGAAAAGTAGAGGGGGACTGGACACCAGAGGAGAAGGCAGTGTGAAGATGGAGGCAGACATTGCAGTGATGTGGCCACAAGCCAAGGAATGCCAACAGCCACCATACGCTGGAAGGGGCAAGGAACGGATTCTCCCCTGGAGCTTACAGAGGGGGCGTGGCATTGCCTGTCCCTTCTTTTCAGACTTCTGACTCTCAGAACTGAGAGAGAATACATTTCTGTTGTTTTAAGCCTTCTGGTTTGTGGTAGTTCATTACAGCAAAGCTTGTAGCAGCCTCAGGAAACGCATACACCAGTCTGTGCTCTGTTCCACTGATCATATGCTTGATTATATAGCAGTGTCTATCATATTGCTATAACAGCTTCTAAGCACTCTTAATTTCATACTTACTTGGTTATGAACTGGCAGCAGAGTTGGAGGAATGCACTGGTTTGCAGACTATGCTGTGAGTACCATGGGTCTAGTCTCCCTCCCATGTTTTATGGATGAGGAAACCGGGGCCTGCAGAGAGGAGTGGCGGGGCTGGATTAAAGCAACAGGTATCTCTGCTGCCTGGAATCGACAGGCAGGCCAGGAGTCGGGCGAGCAGACAGGAGGGCTGCCCTTCGTCTGTTCTGCAGGCCAGCTGCTGTCCCTGTCATCGTTCGTACCCTGCTCAGTGAAGGCTGATGCCCCTGGAGTGCCAGGCTGCTCAGAAGCCCAGAACCCAGGGGAAACTTGTGGACCTTTGCTGTAGCTAATGAGCCAGCAGCAGCAAGCAAGGGACCCTGTCAAGGATAGAGGTTGTGGCTTGCTGTCAACTTAATTTCCAGCTGACGTTTCAGTCTTTGTGGTTTGGGTCATATTTTCTTTCTGGAGCCCAATTTTAACTGTATATTTTCGGAATGATAATTATCTCTTAGAGAATACGGACAAGACTAAAGTCACCTTGACTCTCACCGCTGCTAAAATAAAGTCCAGATTCCTTAACTTGGCATTTGTGGCCCCTGAAAAACCGACTGCCTTCTTTTTTCCACTTCTGCCTCCCCATCTTCCTGCCCTTTTACATAGTCTGTGAACCTCACCAAAATCATGGCTCCCTAGTAGAGGGTGTGAGTAAAGGCTAGGTTCTTGAATCCCCATAGTAGGTGAGTTCTTGATCAAGTAACTCAACTAATGAAAAAAGATGGCAAGGATAGAGGTTGGGCATAACTCTTTGAAGCTCTCAGGAAAAAAAATGTTTATATTCATTAAAGCAGAATAAAAAGGCAGCCAGTACTAATCACTTACACGGGAGCAAAGTCATCTCATACCATCTAGCTGAGCCACCAGATGACGACAGCCACATGGGTAAACCAGGCGAGACCAAAAGAAAAACTACTCAGCTGAGCTTCATAAGAAATGTTTATTATTTAATACCAAAAAAGTAAAAAAAGAGGTGGCATTGTAAACCAAGATTTATCTCTGAGATAACTATACTCATCTTAGTAATGATAGGCATTGTTCTATTACTCAGCTGTAGATGCTTTCCAGAGCCTCCCTCCCACCTTTATGTTTTCAGTGAAATTCTTATTCATTTTGCTTTGTTATGGGTAATGCCCGTGCTAGAGCCGTTTCCCCCCAGGATCTGGCCCTTAATCTGAACATCAAATGCCACTGAGAGTTTATGAGTACTTGTCAGCTGTGCTCCCTGCCTCGCATGTCTCTCTCTTGCTCTGGGGACAGCAGTTCAGAGGCCCAGGTCACTGTCTCTCATCTTATTTTTCCCAAGGCTTTAGTTTAGAAGCCTCTATTCCTTCACCCTCCACTTTTGTTTCTTTTTCTGGTCCTAACCCTGGATCTCTCATCTCTAAATCAGTGATTTTTGGCTGCAGGGGACAGAAGTGCTCTCGTGCCATCTTAGGTTAGCGGAGGTTGTTGCAGGAATCTCCAACAGGGCTGCAGGGAGCAAAGCTTGACCCCCTGCTGGGAATAGGTGTGGGAAGCCCCTCAAACTCAAGAGCTGCATGGTCCTGCTCATCTTTCATCATGATCATGTGTGTGTGTGTGTGTGTGTGTGTGTGTGTGTGTGTCTGTCTGTCTGTCTCTAGCTCACTCGCTCTTGAGCAGAGCAGCTGCCAGTGACAAGTGTCTGTCCCTGAGCCTGTCAGTTTAGGGTGGGGCGTGTGATCACCCTCTCAGCATGGGGTGGGGGAGGATATCCCAAAAAAGGGGGCCTATGGAGGAATAACCCCTCTTCCTTGAAGTGCCTATTATACCTTTTCTTCTGATTTCTCAACAGGAGTAACTCAAGTCACCTGTACTGGAAATTAGTTTGCTGAAATTACTGAAACACAGTTCTTGAAGTTGAAGACAAGGTAAAAAAAAAAAAAATTCTCTCATAAGGGAAACTCACGCTTGGACTGCCCCGACATTCCTCAGATGTGCCGAGTGTGTGATGGTTACCCGTCCTCTGCCTGGCCAGGTTCCCACGCACCCCTCAGGGCCTTTAGCAGACGGGTCTCCCTGCAAGTGAAGCCCCTTCGGACTCCCTCCCGGCGGGCAGTGGTTTCTCCTGCTGCCGAACCCCCGTGACACTTTCTCCTCCTTCCTGACGTTTGTTACCGTTAGCGCCCTTCCTCTGACCTCCTTGCCGTTCTCTCTTGGCCGGTCCAGGGCTGCTCTGTGACCGCCGCCCGCCATCGCACCGCTTCCACGCGTCATGAGAGCTGCCCGTCCGCCCGGTTGTCCCAGTGAGCTCCTCGGGGCGTACCTGAATTGTGCCCCGACACAGGAGCTGCTCCATGAACGCTTGTTGGCTGACGTTCCCTCCTCGAGGTCAGCTCCTTTGTGGGTCTGCTTTGCACGTCCCCCCTCCTCCCTTGTAGGCCTGTGCTAGGAACGAATCTCTCTTAAATTGACTCTGTTCTGTGAGCACGCGTCTTCTAGTCTTCTCTAGTTGTCCTTCGCTTTTTGGGTATTGGTGAAACGAAGCTAACAGCAAAGATTTTTGTATCTGATTCTTCTTTTTGACTTGGGCCCATGTTCAAAGCAATAATCCAGAATAGGGAAGGGAGGTGACAGGCAGCACCATGAGCCGGTGGCCGTGGGAGCACAACTCCTAGCCTGCATCTGCCTCTGGGGCTGGTGTTGAATGGGGGTTGCCCGGGGTGGGGGTCGGTCTCAGTGTGGTCGTGGCCCCTCCTGTCTGCTGCATGGCAGACCCTCTCCTCCCCATGATCCTCCAGTCTGCTGCAACCCATGGACCACTGTCTCTTCACCCACCTCACTGACCCAGACCATTTTGCTTGAAATGAACAAGTCAGCAGATTCCCTTTCTCAAACTGTTTACTGCACAAAAACAAAGATGTTTCTTATTAATTTTATCAGTTTTGTTGGTTGCCGTCCCCCTGGAAGACTTGTCCCAGCCCTTCCTCCCTAACAGTAAGCAGCAGTGTTGTCTTACATTTGTAGAGCGCTTTCCTGCATTCCTGCAGGGTGCCTCGTACACAGCACCAGGTTTTCTTCTCCTTCTAATCCTGGGAAGCAGGCAGGGGCAAATGGTAACTTCTCATTTTCAAAGTCAGGAAGTAAGCTCCGAAGTTCAATGTCTTGCTGAAGGTCATGAGCCAATGTGAATGGAGTTTGGTTTTTCCCTCCCCACACCATCTTGGTCCCTCCCTTTGGAAGCCGTGGCAAATTGCTGGAAACCTAGGGACTCTTATCTCTTGCCCACCCTCAGTGTTCCTTTTCGGGGAGGAGAGCCTTGGTCTCCTGCTGAGAAATGCAGTCTGACCCTATGCCCAGGGCCAGGCAGCTTCATTGAAAAAGCAGATACCTTCTTCCTGAGACCTTCCAGTCAGTCTTGAAAGTTTTATTGTTGTTTTGGCTTGTTTAAATACAGGAAATTTAATCAGTTTACATTAATGCGGCATCATCTTACTCTGAGTAAGCTGGAAGACGCTAACAGGAGTTTGATCAGCTTAATCTAGCTGTATCTAATGTTCTTTCCGTCCCTCCCTTCCTCTTTTAAATGATTGCAAATTGTTTCTGTCAGTCCAGGCAGCAGAGCACAGTGCTTTATTGCTATGTGGAATTATTTCAGTTAAATGTGATTTTTTTTAAATGGCTCAATTTTTAATTAGAAAGCAGATTATCAAGTGACATTTTGATTTGTGCTTTGATGGGGAAATTGGAAAATAGACCCATCATAATAAGAAACCAGGTCTAGTCTAGAAGGAGGCATATTAAGAACAGGATGTGATCTTAATGAATCATTGTTTTCCTAAAATAGGCCATTCTCTCTGGTCTTTTGTTGTGAGACCTTCCTCTGCATCTGATACTACCTTAGATTAACATTTTCCTATGGGAGACTAATCTGGAATCCCCCAAACAGGATGGTTCTCCCTGTAGCGTGAGTGTCAAGGCCCAAGACCAGGCACCAACCTTTTACAGGGAATTCTTGAAAACGTCAGTATCAAGAAATCAGCAAACCTTTTATGAGGTTTGTAACTGAAGAAAATATGAGGCCACATTCTTTACTCCAGCTGTGGCATGATGCAAACATCAATTTTCTGTTAAGGTGGGTGTTTTCTTAGCCCTGAAACTATATCTGCATTAGCGTGGATCCTCATAGAAGCAACTTTCCCATGTCCCGGCTGAGTTTGGTCCCGTGAGCTCCTTTATACCTTTTATAGCAAACTTAGGAAACTTTGGCATCTCATGGGCACCTCAAGCTTAATATGTTGATTTTAGCTCTTGGCCTCCTTTCCAGCCCCTTTCCAGACCACCTCTCTTCTCCTATGTCATTAAGGCATGTAGCTGTTAACTCTTTCAAGCCAGAAATGGAGGAGTCATCTGTCGTTATTCACCTTTCTCTTTCTTCTGATCACCAAGTCCTAACGCTACTTCTCCTACAGGAGATCTTGAATTCATCCACTGTACTCTCCCCATGCCCACCTCTTAAGTCCAAGCCAGCACCATCCTTTGCCCAGGGCACTGCCAGGCCCTTTTAACTGCTTCTCTGCTTCCCCCTCCCCCATTCCAGCATCACTTTGGACCCAGAGTGATCTTTACAGACTCTTGTCTTAGCAGCTCACTCCCTTGCTTGAAACCCATAAGTGACCTTGCCCTGCTGGTGGATGAAGCCGGTAGGCCCAGTGTGGCCCATACAGGGGACTGCACCATCTGGGCCCCAGATCTAGCCAGAGAGTCCACAGTGTTGTTGGTGTCACATTGTTGTAGCCTGTGAGACGCTTTTCCCCTTCCTTCTTGACTTTCTTGAAAGATTGCAATGACTTCCATTTTCCAAATGCAATAAAGCAACTGTCAGGTTCTCAAAGGAATAATTAGAATGGATTTTATATTCTGGGAAATGAAACAGGGAGTGATTTGTTCCTCCAAACCTCAGAATATCAACTTCTAAAACACGGAAGTAGACCACTGTCTCATTTGGAACCTTAATAAATTAGTAGCCAATAAGTAATTAACTAAAATTGCAATAGCCCTGCTACTCTCCAAGTAGCCCTTTCTCCCAAATATTTTCACATAAAAATGTGCGACAGCATTTTAGCTCAGGAAATCATGAATGGAACTTGGTTCTAGGCTGGTACAAGAAAAGACTGATTTTCTACAGCGGAAGAAGAAACAAAGCTACGTATTAGTATAGAGCTTTCCTTTTTAAACACATTCTCCTATCCTGAAGCCTATTTGTTTTCCTTATCTTGGCCTCGAGCTTTACTCCTCTGGTGGTGGGTGGGGGAAGGCATACACCTGAATTTCATCTCAGCTGTAACTGTCCCTTCTCCTCAAGCTTTCCTTTCAAGGTCATTCATGGGAACACTGAAATCCTAGCTGGATTTTTGGTGTACTGTAGCTTCAAATTAAGATAATTTTTCTATGATCTTGAATTTGAAATGTTTTAAGGTGCCAGTTTGGTGGATCCCCTGATGAGTTACAGCAAAGATTGTCATGGGAATACCAGACAGGGTGGTCTTAGTACAGTGTGATGAGCACGGTGATGGAGTTTATCACCCAGGGTCATGGGAGCACAGCGACAGGCCTTCTTCACTCACCTCGGGGGGTAGAAAGTCCTGCGACCCTTGAGGAGGGTCTTGGAAGAGACCCCAGGTGTTCGGCATTTCTTTGCCAAGCTGAAGGAATGGTTGGGAGAAAAGAGGTCTGCAAAAGGGCATTTCAGACAACTCATAGATGAAGGGCCAGAGGTCAGCAAGAGCATGGCAAGTCAGAGAGCCACAAGGAGGGTCGCTGTGGCCCTGCAATGAAGGGCACGGGGGGCTGGAGGCGGGGCGGTGAGTGCTAGAAGGTGGGCAGGAGCCAGATCATGCAAGGCCTTCCCTGGGGACCAGGTCGAGCCAAGGGGGTTGAATTTTATTTTAAAGGCAGTGGAACACCGTGGTAGAATTTTACACTACTGAATCAGATTTGTCTTTCAGAATAGAGACTCCGTAGGCGTGGTCTGCACACCTAAGACTTCTGAAAGGCAGTGATCTGATTCAGACATGCAAGTCCTTTTATGAGTGTGAGACTGAAAATTCCACAGACTTCCAAATTTTAGGTATGACTACAGGCTAGCTACCAATAATTAAATGATGTTGTTAAGTAACCGAACTGTGACTGGTGTTAAGTTAGTGTCCTGGTGGAGTTTCTGGATGACTCTATTGTGTAGACTCTACTTTTTAAACAGGAGGCCAATTCACTGTGCCTCAGACCGTTGGAGGGCCGGACTATATAGTTTAAAAAAAAAACTATGAACAAATTCCTATGCACACCGCACATATCTTATTTTGAAGTAAAAAAACAAACGGGCAAAAACACCTGCATGCAGCCCGCAGGCCGTAGTTTGAGGATGCCTGGTGTAGAGGCTGGCTGCATGGCCTCCCTCAGTAGCGGTCCCACTCCGGCGGCTGGAGTTCCTGCCAGTCTCGGAAAAGGCGGAAACGGCACTCTAACAGTGCAACCTCAGTGAGGTCTTGGATTTGTGGCAGTTTTTAGTTGCTGGGAATCTAGATGTATAATTATCAATTAGTGTTAGCTTGGCTTTCTCATAATTAGGTTAACATGATTTGGTTGGTTCACTGTGTACTATGGATAGATGCATATTTATGCCAGGAATGTTTTTTGACTTAAGAGTTCTGATAACTAGACTTTAAAACAGGTATGAGGTTTAGATGTGTCGTCATCCATATTCTTTTGCTAAAGAAGATGTATTTCTTTCTCCCACATTTGCTTCTACATGATTCTTCACTGTTGTCATTACCACTTTGTTTTTTGCTGTTAAGGGGAAAATGTGTGGGATGGGCAAGTGTGGCATCCTTTGCCCTGCCTCCACGGGCAGTGGTTTTAGGAGGATTTAGAA